CAAAAATATGCTCCAACGGTACATTCAAAATATGTAGTACCTCCAATTTTTTTTTCTTATAGTATTATTTCCCTTTTTTTTGACAGTATTGTTTCCAAAATATTTCTTTTTAAAAGCACCGGAATCAAATTCAAATATATTTCACTGCAAGAATTCGATTTGCTTCTAAAACTGACTCCTACCGCTTGGGGAACAGTGCCGGAAGAAAAGAATAAAAGGACGGTAAACCTGGGAAAAAAGGTACCGGAAGAAAAGGACGGTTAAAAATGACAAAAAAGAGAGAGAGAGAGAAGTGAATCCGGATTACTTAGGCGGTACCAGTTTTCATCAACGACGGATGTAAATGGAACGGTCCAGATCAGTGGGGCGTACTGTTTATAGCACTGTAGCATAGAATACTGTTTGTACGGTCGCTGTATCACTAGATCTGAGTAATTGATCACTGAAATGGACGGCTGAAATTGCTTGCAGTTCTTAAGTCGCAGTCACAGCTATAACTGCAACTGATCTGAATCCGAGAAAAGTATAGCCTGCTACCTCAGCGTGCAAGCACAGAGGCCACACGCCAACACTACAACAACATTGGTTGGTGCTGCTAGGCTCCGTTCGTTCCGGGCGATCTGGGGGACTGAGGGAGAAATGCATCTCGTTTTTCGCGCGCACGCTTCCCAAACTATTAAACGGTAAGTTTTTTTAAAAAAAAAAAATTATAGGAAAGTTGCTTTAAAAAATCATATTAATCCATTTTTAAAGTTTGAAATAGTTAATACTCAATTAATCATGTGCTAATGGCTCACCTCGTTTTGCGTATCTTCTCAATCCCCTTCTTCTCAAACACACAAAAGTAGCAACATCCGAACAACATTGAAATTACTTTATATTTTCAGCGATCAGGCTTTTCTCAAAATATATCAACTTCTCCACCAATAATTATCTTTCCAACCAATCATAACTTTTCACTATTCACTTTTTCTACCTACCTCCACTTCTCAACCAATCACAACCTCTCCCTATTTAATGCTACTATTTTTTAATAACAGTGTCCAACTATAAAACTTCTTATAGTTTAGGATAGATGTAGTAGTATTTAGTATCAAACTTATGGGGTGTTTAGATCCAGGGGTGTAAAGTTTTGGCGTGTCACATTAGATATTATATAGGGTGTCACATGGGGTGTTCGGACACTAATAATAAAACTAAATACAAAATCCGTCAGTAAACCGCAAGACGAATTTATTAAGCCTAATTAATCCGTCATTAGCAAATATTTACTGTAGCACCACATTGTCAAATTATGGAGCAATTAGGCTCAAAAGATTCATCTCGCAAATTAGTCACAATCTATGCAATTAGTTATTTTTTAACCTATATTTAATACTCTATACAGGTGTTCAAACGTTCGATGTGTCAGGGTGTAAAATTTCTGCGTGTGATCTAAACATGACCTTAGAATTTACAAGACATTGGTGCAAAAACATATGTGTGCCGTCAGCCCGTCACGTCCATGGGCTGGCCTAAGCGTTTAACTTGGGAAAAAGTATATTTTGACTCCCTCAACAATCGCCCGAGTATGATTCTATGTCCTCCAACTATAAAACCGGATATATCAACTCCTCTAACTGTCAAAACCAATGCAAACAATGTCCCTTGACGGTTTTAGAGGTGGTTTTGGCTGACGTGGCGCCTACATGGTGTTCTTGACTGAGCCTTTGTCCTACGTGGCGTTTACGTGGGCATTAGAATAAAAAATAAAATTAAAAAAAAATGTGGGACCCATATGTCATTCACAAAAAAAAAATTCCACCGCATTTCTCAGCCTCCTGTTCACGCGAACCCATGGCGGCCAAGCTCTCGTTGCTCATGCTCCTCGTCCTCGTCCTCCCGGCTTCCGGCGATGACGCCGCGGCGCGTTCAACGTGACGGAGATCCTCGGGCGGTTCCCGGAGTTCGGCCTGTGTTCAGCTACCTGATCAGAAAGACGCACGTCGACCGCGACATCAACAGCCGCAACACGGTGACCGTGCTAGTGGACAACTCCGCCGTGGACTGACTCCTCCGCTGCAGCCGCCAGGCTGCCGCGGGCGGCGCTCGTCGAGCTCCTCTCCGTCCACGTCGTGCTCGACTACATCGACGCCGCGAAGATCGCCGCGCTGCCGCGGGGGAGGCCCACCGTGTCGACAACCCTGTTCCAGACCACCGGGAACATGTGCCGCCGCACCGGGTTTGTCGCCATCACCCCCGACGGCCAAGGGTGGCGCTGTCTTCGCCTCCGCCGCGCTCTCCGCGCTGGTGAACGCCACGCTCAAGAGGGTGGTCGCCGCGGTGCCGTACAACATCTTCGTGCTCCAGATCAGCAACTTCGTCGTGCCGCCGAGTGTACTCACGAGGCCACGGCCGGCGCTCCCCTCTGCCGCCGCCGCTCCAGAGAGAGACGAGGGATAGAGAGGAGAGGAGGAAGGGAGAGGGAGGATGACATGTGGGTCCCACAATATATATTTTTAATAACATATGGGTCTCACATATTTTTTTTATTTTTATTCTAATGCCACGTAAGTGCCACGTAGGACAAAGACTCGGTTAAGAATGCCATGTAGGCGTCACGTCAGCCAAAACCACCTCTAAAACCACTAAAGGATATTATTTGCACCGGTTTTTGATAGTTGAAGGAGTCGATATACCCGGTTTCGTGGTTGGAGGATATAAATCATACTCGGGTGATAGTTGAGGGAGTCAAAGTATACTTTTTCCTTTAACTTGGGTCAGAAAAGACACATAGCCCCTAGAGAGAATGGCCCATCTAAGAAATAAGGATATGGGCCAACCTGAGAGGAACCTAGGCCCCCTAAAATACAGCCCAATTTAGATGACAACGACCCACCAGCAGATATAATAGCCGTCGTGCACACCATCTAAGAAAGAAAACTTAAGGGGAAATGTTCACTTAGGTACTTCGTGTATAAGTTAAGTTTCATTCACGTCCCTCAACAGTAAAACCGGACATAATGTGTCCCTTAAGTTTTAAAACCGGTGTAAATTAAGTCCCTCAAAAGTTTTAGACAACAATTCCATCCTATGTGACATCCACGTGGTGTGTTGACCTAATCTTCATGTGATCTGATCTTTATTTTTACAACTTATAAATGTGCTTTTCTTTCTCAAAGTTATAGGTTGGGGTAAAGATTGTGCTTTGTGGATTAGATAAAGATGTCACATGAAGTCGGCTTTATGTAGGCTACGATGCTATATGCGTCTGCACTCCATCGTCTCATGTTGGAGCTTTGTACGATACAATGTGCTGACGACTCAATCTTTATGTGAGCATGAAGCTTTATCATATATACTTCTATTGACTCTTTCAGTATAACGACATGGGTTGAATTACTCAACAATGCTTATTTATGTTAGGACTCAATCCACATATCACATACATAGTAGGTCATCATGTAAAGTTGTCCTTTGTCCATTGCACACTAGAGTTCTAAGGGCATTTACATTGCTATGCGATGGATAATGCATGGCCTCACAATTTCATCGCAATGTCACGTCGGACAGTTTATATAAAAGTTTCTGCATGAAGCACATTGTTAGTAGTTTGAAAAACATGCTAACGGGAATTAAGGAGTAGCCAAGTTCAATTAGCTCTTTAGAATAGACCCTTCTTCGACACAGATCAAGGCGAGCGGCTAGGGCGCTGCCTAGCAGTGTCCTAGCAGGAGCTCATGCCTCATGGAGAAGGCAACAAATAACAAAAGATGTAAAACTTGGTGTCTCTTTTCTTTCTCTAAGCCTCTTCTTTACGGGCTCTAGCTCCTACTTCCTCCGTTTTACAATGTAAGACTTTCTAGCATTACCCACATTTATATAGATAATGCTAAAAAATCTTTAATAAGTCTTACATTATGAAACGGGGGGTACTTGGCTTTACTTCTTCATTACTCCATAAACTTATAAAACCGTTCTATTTATCAGCTTCCTCTTCCTCAAATCTTATAATTTGTACTTAAAAACAACTGCTATTTGTACTAAGAAAAGTGGATTTCTAATAACATTGTATGATCTATCATATTCATAAGATTAGTTACTATAAATGTCAAAACTCAATTATCACTAAGTGGGTGACGACCATAACATATATAAAGGGGGTATATTCATTCTTCTCCTTTCTCGTTATTCCTTTTGCCTATGGTCTCTCATTCTCTTAGATAAGGGGAAATCCTCATGCCACTTAAGCTATGGCCGGGGGCTAAGGGCCTGTTTGGGGTAGCTTTAGATTCTGAGAAGCAGCTGTTTGGTAGCCAGTTTCTGAGAATCTGGAAAAGCTCTGAAACTCAGCTTCTCCAGCTTCTGGCTTCTTAGTTTATTTTTCAGAATCTGTAACTACATATTCTCAGAAGCTGTGGACTGTTAAGGGCAGCTTCTAGCAGAAGCAGCTTTTGGGAAAAACTTTTGGGAAAAGCCGCAGTTGGGACAAGCTCTCCCAAACAGGGCTAAGACTAATTTAGGTCCATATTTAAAATATGATTTTTTTTGTCAATCGAGATAAGTCAATTTAAATCACTCAGGGCATCTTTAAAATACGATGTACTACTCCGTTCTATAAAAAAACCCAATCCTAACTACGAATCTAGATATATGTGTGTCCAGATTTGTTGTTAGGATTGTTTTTTTTTAACGGAGGGATAATATACAACATTATGAATTTTCTTATCAATAGTTAGCATGTGAATTGGGTTAGTTCCTTCATACGGAGTACTATATCGCAATTGTGAGTTTGTGAATGAATGCACATGCACGGTTACACCGTATCTGTCCTCGTATGCGCATACGTATTCCGTAGACGCTCCCGTCGGGGTCGAATTCGGTATTCGTACCCAAACTCTTCGTATTTACATTTCTGCCATTCTCTCCTCTCCTTTGTCCTTTCTTGCGCAGAAGGCCAGAGAGACAAGCAGAGGAGAAAAAAAAAAGAAAAAGAAAAAAAGAAAAAAAAAACATAGCGAAGAGGAGCCCGCGAGATGGCGATGGCGAGCTTGGCGAGGAGGCGCGCGGCGGAGGCGGCGCTGCTGCGGCGGGCGCCGGCGGCGGCGTGGGCGTCCGCGTGGAGGGGGTACGCGGCGGCGGCGGCGGGGGAGGAGAGCGACGTCGTGGTGATCGGCGGCGGGCCGGGCGGGTACGTGGCCGCCATCAAGGCGGCGCAGCTAGGGCTCAAGACCACCTGCATCGAGAAGAGGGGAACGCTCGGGGGCACCTGCCTCAACGTCGGCTGCATCCCCTCCAAGGTATCGCCCCCTCCCTCCCGCCCCGTCTCCGCGCCGCGATCTGGGATGGATGGCTGCGCGTTCCCCGCTGTTAGCTCTCGGAGAGCTCGTAGATCCGTGCGAATTCGTACGACGAATTTGGGCGTTAGGGTTTGCGTTGCGCGGGTGTTTAGGATGTAGTTGTTTGATACGTTTCGGGGTTTGCAAAATTTTGATTTATCCATGTGAATGTCAGAGAATTGGGACCTGCTCAACAAGCTATTTGGGGGGTGTGGTGATGTGAATTTTAATATGGCCCCCATCGGTTGGGCATATATGCGAATTATACGCCTTACAGCGTATTAGCAAAAGAATAATGTTTTGTGGGTAAAACTATAGATATGAGATATGTTTTTAGCGATTTAAAAGCTAATGCTGAAAAATAAACTTCGATGAAAAAACTTTAAAATTAAGCCTTAATATTCAAATTCTTGGCAGCGGCTGATTTCTTATAATGAAAACGATGGGGGCCTATGGTTCCTGCTCTTCATGCCAGATTGTCAGTTCAGTGATGCGAATTTTGAGTCTTCAAGTTGTGCTAGGAATTTGGAACCCGCTGATAATGTTATCAGTGCTATTTGCAGCTGGGTTTTATATTGAATTGTCTGAAATGTGTGGATTAGTTACAGTCAGTTCCTTTTCTTCTTTGCTATTATTGGTTAGGAGGTGATGAATCATTTCGACCCATTCTATTTAGCTGTGCCATCGATTTATTATGAATTACGAAGCACAATGGGGGTAATATGATGCCGTAGGCCTGAGTTTTTATCAGTGGGTCAACTTTCTGATATCTTTTAGAGAAAATTGCGAATATCATTGCCATTTTATAGATAAGAGCTTTGAGTAATCTGAGGTTGGTAATCTCATTGTTTGCTCTACACTTGTTCTGCTAGTGTGCATAAATTTGCACCTGTCTTCATTAGCTAGTCATCATTGAGCATGTAGTTGGAGGTTTCATTATTAGATCTTTATTGCTTTAGTTCTGAGGTCCATGGTTGGGGCCAGGTCTGTCATGACAAAGGGATTTAACCTACTTGATCCAACACAAAAATTGGAATATTTTTGGTGCTCTAATGAAGCTAGGGATGGATAACTGGTCTCGAAATTTGGTCTCGAATGCTCATACACTATTTATTAGCCGATATAATGCCACATTTTATGATGTTAGTCTTTTCATATGGGGCCAGAAATATTAATTGAATATCGAGAAGGTAGATTCGGTATTTTGCTCTTTAAGAGTTTCAGCTTATGGCTTCAGTTTTTCTCATCTATAGTTGCCACTTTCTATTCTTTACTCTTGTTTATGGTTCAACTCTAGATAAAACACTATGTACTTCCTTTGAACTGTACTATGGTTATCCTTCTGGAATGCAACTTTAGTTGAACATTAACATTTTTGTTGATTTCATACATGCTGTATCTTCACGCATGCTTGTGAAATTGGTCATGTTAACCATGCTGAAGTAGATAGATATACCAATAAATTCTTGTTCAAATGCTACTGCATACCCTCCTGAAGTACCAATTTTGTACTTAGCTTTTGCAGTTATGTATTTGTAGCTGGCTTATTTGAAAGAATGCAAATTGCAAGTGCATCATTTCGATGGTTATTGCATTGCATCTTATTTGTTTTCTTTTATCATTTCAGGCTCTCCTGCATTCGTCGCATATGTACCATGAGGCCAAGGCTTCTTTTGCACACCATGGTATCAAATTCTCAAATCTTGAAATAGATTTGCCTGCCATGATGTCACAGAAAGACAAAGCAGTTGCTGGGCTGACTAAAGGGATTGAAGGCCTGTTCAAGAAGAACAAGGTTGAGTATGTCAAAGGATTTGGAAAGTTTGTGTCCCCTTCAGAGGTATCTGTTGACTTGCTCGATGGTGGTAGCACTACTGTTAAAGGGAAGAACATAATCATTGCCACTGGCTCAGATGTGAAATCACTCCCTGGAGTTACAATAGATGAGAAGAAGATCGTGTCATCTACTGGTGCTCTTGCTCTTTCAGAAATACCAAAGAAGTTGGTGGTTATTGGAGCTGGATACATTGGTTTAGAGATGGGTTCTGTCTGGAACAGGCTAGGGTCTGAGGTCACTGTCGTTGAATTCGCTTCTGACATTGTCCCGTCAATGGATGGAGAGATTAGGAAGCAGTTCCAGCGTATGCTGGAGAAGCAGAAAATGAAGTTCATGCTTAAGACAAAAGTTGTTGGGGTTGATACCTCTGGGAGTGGTGTCAAGTTAACTGTGGAGCCTGCAGCTGGTGGAGAGCAGAGTGTTCTTGAGTGTGATATTGTTCTTGTATCTGCTGGCAGAGTACCATACACCTCTGGTCTTGGATTGAACGCCCTTGGTGTTGAGACTGACAAGGGTGGAAGAATCCTTGTCGACAAGCGCTTTATGACAAATGTTAAGGGTGTTTATGCGATTGGAGATGCGATCCCTGGACCCATGCTTGCACATAAAGCTGAAGAAGATGGTGTTGCCTGTGTTGAATTCATCGCAGGTAAAGAAGGTCACGTAGATTATGACACTGTACCTGGAGTGGTGTACACACACCCAGAGGTGGCTTCTGTTGGGAAGACGGAAGAACAGGTCAAGGCATCAGGAGTGGCCTACCAGGTTGGGAAGTTCCCCCTGTTGGCCAACAGCCGTGCAAAGGCAATTGATGATGCTGAAGGGTTGGTCAAGGTAGTGGCTGAGAAGGAGACCGATAGAATCCTCGGTGTACATATAATGGCCCCTAATGCAGGTGAGATAATCCATGAGGCGGTGCTTGCACTTCAGTATGGAGCATCTAGTGAGGATATTGCACGGACATGCCATGCGCATCCAACAGTGAGCGAAGCCCTGAAGGAGGCTTGCCTACAGACCTACCTGAAGGCGATTCACATTTAAATCATGATACAGTTTCAACTGCCATCTAAAAATATTCCCCAAAGTTTTGAAATAATATGGAACGATGTGGTTAAAACATCTAGTTTGTTTACCATTTCCTCAGCGGAACTGTGAATTCGCACCTTCACTTCTTATTGTAGTTATATTCTTTTTCCTTGCTAGCTGGCGCGTCTGTTCCTACTCCTTAATAATATGGTAAAAACTTAATGCTGAATATGTTTCTTTTTTCTGTTGATACCTGAGACAAGAATACCACAGAGGCTGGCTCCCCTAGATCAGATGGCGCCCTTCATCTCTGGAATTTTTTGCTTAATCCCAATTCTGATAGTCTATTTTCAGTATCTTTGTTGGGACATAAAAGATGTATAATTGTGTGCATGTCACAAATCTTTCCATGATTCATTATTGCTCAAATTATTAAATTCTACTGTAATTACTTGCAGTTGCAAACTTGCAATATGTCTTCAGTTCTGCTTGGTTACTCAAACTTATCAACGAAACCGCAAGGTCAAGGGCGATTTATTGAAATAAATATTTGGCACTGGATTTTTTTTTTAGGCAAATGTTTTGTTGCTTCCAGCATCAAGCAAGGCCTCTGCGATTTTTTTAGAAAAAATCCCGTGGAACAATACTACACAGGAATGAAATGAAACCAAACTCCTGAAATTTTATATACCAACGACCTGTTTGGCAACAATTGGGGAGGGGCATAATATTAGCTCTGGGAGTTGAGTGAGGGAATTAATATGGGAATTGACTTTTAATTCCAATCTCTTGTTTGGGAATTTGATTCACATTCTCTGTTTGTTGCGTGGGTTTTGAGGTACGAAATTATATCGGAAGACATGATAAACGGTAAGATTAACGAGAGTTGGATCAATTAGTTTCCCATCCTAATCCCTCTAAATTTCCCACATCCTCCAATCAAACTGAGATTATAATGCTTAAGGGTGAGTTCGAGGGATAGGGGATTGAGAAGATTGGGAAGATACGCAAAACGAGGTGAGCCATTAGCATGTGATTAATTGAGTATTAACTATTTTAAATTGCAAAAATGGATTAATATGATTTTTTAAAGCAACTTTCCTATAGAAAATTTTTGCAAAAAACACACCGTTTAGTAGTTTGGGAAGCGTGCGCGTGGAAAACGATGTGCTATATCACTCATTGTCCATGAAACGAACGCACTCTAAATCTCCTAAACTTCCATTCCCTCTTTTCAAACCCCCCAACCAAACAAACTGCAAATGCTTTCTAAAATTGAGTACGCAAAAAGTGTAACTATGTCACATGTCACACAACACAGATCTTGAAACAGTTATATCAAACTTTAGGATCCAAATTTGTACGAGTTGAATACAAGGAAACATTTTTATATCTCCTGATGTTAAGGCCCGTATTAAATTAAGCCCAAAAACAAAATCACATCTCTATCCAAGATTCCAGACAAGCCAACAAGTAGAGTAACCATCACAGAAACCTTCAACTATCCAAAACTCCTCATCCTCCCCCCATTCTATCACCAAGAAAAGAGGGGAAAAAAAAAGAGAGAAAAAAAAAGAGAGAGAGAAGAGAGGAAGAGATGGAGATGGCCATCGACACGCCATCGCCGTCGCCGTCGGCCTCGTCGGCGGCGGCGGGGAGGCAGACGCGCGCGGCGGAGTCGGTGCGGCTGGAGCACCAGCTGCTGCGCGTCCCCCTCGAGGCCCTCAAGTCCACCGTGCGCACCAACCACCGCCTCGCCGAGAAGGAGATCGCCGCCGTCCTCTCCTCCGCCGCCGCCGCGCCGGGAGGAGGAGGAGGAGGCAGCGGTGACGCCGCCGCCGTCGACCACCTCACCTCCCTCGTCTCCCGCCTCCACGGCCTCAAGCGCAAGGTTGTACTCCCCTCCCCTTCCCTTCCCCAATTCCCCACCTCACTTCGCCCCCCAATCAGTCTCTCGCCGAATCCACACTTGCCCTCGAAAAGATCCTGGCTCGTTGATCGATTGATTCTCTATTCTATCTGGATCCTACTTAGGTTGGGGAAATCCCATTTCGTTGCTGATGGATTGATTGATTATGATGATGATGATGATGATGATGTCTTGCAGATGGAGGAGGGAGCGCGGGCGGAGGAGCTGCAGGTGCAGAGGTGCCGGGCGCGGCTCAACCGTCTCGCATCGGCGAGCTCTGGCGATGATGCTGAGTGGGAGGAATTGCGGCTCAAGCGGATCCTGGTTGATTACATGCTGCGGATGTCATACTACGACACCGCCGCGAATCTCGCGGAGACTTCCGGCATTCAGGTATAAGAATGGTAGTAGACAGGAAGAACATACCAAGGAGAGATTTTCCATTGGTTGTGTATATAGTTTGTTCACTAACCTCACATAGTCACATTAGTGGCAACAAAGCAAGCAATAACCCACAACTTTACCCTTTGGCCATATCGATTGTTTGCCGCTGAAATGATCCGTCAAGTTTGTTGAAGTTAACTAACTAATCTTGCGACGAAGAAGTATGAATATAATGCTCAAATTGCCTGCGAGCTCCTTTTAATCCTTTGATGAACTAGGGCCTAATGTTGCCTTTAACCATAATTTTACCTGTATTTTATTTGTCCACATTATTCGATTTCCACTCTGGTTAAGTTTTGCAGTCTCTTACATGTTATATGCTTGACTACCCTCCTGCCAAACAAAAGAGAATGCTTGTTTTAAAACTATCTCATCTGTATGTGAATGCAGATGACGTAGCATAAGTTAATCTCCTTTTATTTGTAGTTACCGTTATTCTTTTATTTTACCAATGTACATAATTATTGGCGAGTAGCCAAACATGTTGCTTTCTGCTTTTTGGATATAGCATGAATACAGAACATTTTTTGTAATGAATCTTAAGAGTTAAGATTTGCTTTCCGCTAGTATATAAGTGGCTTCAGCAACAATGATAATGAGAGCAGTATCAATTCATGCTGGAGTCGAGACTGATCAGTACATACTGCCTTTAACTCCCATAATCCATAATTACTCACTGGAACATAATCTGACTAGTCAACTTATGCAGGACCTTGTTGACGTTGATGTTTTTCTCGATGCAAAAAGAGTAATTGATTCTCTTCAGAACAAGGAAATCGCTCCTGCTTTAGCTTGGTGTGCAGAAAACAGGTCTCGGTTAAAGAAATCAAAGGTTTGTTTTACTGTGCTATTTCGTAATTCGTACTATATTGATTGGTTTGCTTCAATAAAAAATTCAGCATATTAGCAAGATGAAATGATTAATCTTTGGCGTATGATGAAATACTGGTGTCTGGTGCTTGCATTGGCATCTGATTATTGATAGCTCTGACTTCTAATAGCACATGAATCATGGTGGATTTTGCTGGCTCAAATTCTTAATCTTGTAAGCTGTCTTCTTTATTGGAATTTGGAGGCGATTTGTTCTACATGTCCTCTGTTAAAAAGCATCCTAATCTAAAGAAACAGGCGAGAGTGCATAGTACATCAATGAATATGATGTTAGTGTACAACATTTCTTGATGTCATTTTCAAAGAAACAAAATAAGCCCAGTTTTTTTAGGTGCTGACTGGCGTATACTACTATCTTTATGTTAACACAATTGTTAGTTCTAGTACATTAGGGTGCCTTTGTTATTTGCCCTGATTAGAGTGCTTTTGTTATTTTCCCTGCAGAGTAAGCTTGAGTTTTTTCTGAGGCTTCAAGAGTTTGTGGAACTTGTCAAGGCCAAGAACTTCATGCACGCTATAGCATATGCTCGAAAATACCTTTCTCCCTGGGGGGCTACACACATGAAAGAATTGCAGCGCGTCACAGCAACATTGGTTTTTAGAAGCAGTACAAACTGTGCTCCTTACAAGGTTAGCAGCATTGTCTGTGTACTCTTGTTTTTTTTTTTTTGGTGTCACTGCATGCCTGCATCACGAATCTGACCACATATTTTCATTCAAATATATTATTATCTATTTGACTATATGTGCATTCTTGGAGAGTCCTCTGATATCAACTCCTATTGGAGTAGAGCTGCATCATAGTCTTCATACCATGTGTTTATGCTCGCAGGTCCTGTTTGAGCAAAATCAGTGGGACAGCCTTGTGGACCAGTTTAAGCAGGAATTCTGCAAATTGTATGGCATGACATTGGAGCCGTTGCTGAACATCTATATGCAAGCAGGGCTCACAGCTCTGAAGACACCGTATCCTTCGCCTGATCATTATTTTCCGCTTCACCTTTACCATTTAATATAAACCACTAGCATTGTATTACATTCTCTTTTTTCCTTGACCATCATTAGATTCTGCTTCGATGGTAACTGCCCCAAAGAAGACCCCTTATCCCTGCCTGGCTTCCGGAAACTAGCAGAGCCGCTTCCATTCTCCAAGCAGCACCATTCAAAGCTTGTCTGCTACATAACCAAGGAGCTCATGGACACTGAGAACCCACCGCTCGTTTTCCCGAATGGCTATGTTTATAGCACCAAGGTAAAAACTACGAGCTGAACCAGGTCATTACGGTATTATGCCGATCTGCGAGTTCATACTTGAAACCGTCGTTCGTAGTGCCACACTGATAATCCGTTGCTGGCTGTTCATTCTATCCTACCTCAGGCTCTTGATGAGATGGCCAAGAAGAATGGAGGCAAGGTTACATGCCCTCGGACAGGAGACATCTGCAACTACACCGATCTCGTCAAGGCCTACATATCATGATCACACAACGCGTGTGGATCTCATCTGGGAAGACACTGATTTGCGCGGGTGATCTGCACCCTGAATGCTTGTACATAGACTGATCAGAACATTCTCTATTCTGTTAAGTTTAGTCTGAATTGTGATGCAAATGCAAGAACCATTGAAACTACTTCAGTACTGATTTCTGATTACACTTTGACCTTTTGTGTCATTGCATTCCATTTCCATCCTTTTTAACCTTTTTCTTGGTCAAAATGAATTGGTGAAATCTATCTCGAAAGTAAATTGATTCATGCGAAAAATACTGCACTCTATTAAAGTAGGATTTGGAAACCTTATAACCATCACTTTTGATATTAAAATTAAATCAGCATATAGCTGCAGTATGAATATGCTTTACATGAAAGGGAGATGACTTGTACGAATGGTTCAAAACGCCTTTCCAGCCTCTGCTCCCACGAAAGCGGAAATCCATGATGCGTTTTCCAAGCAAGAAAGCGGAAAAGAGAAAGTAAACCGGTGCCCTATCCTGAGTAATGGGCCGGAAGAGAAGCAACGAACCAGTCCCAAGCCCAACAAACCCAGATGAACCCCAGCCGTCCGATCCGAAAACCCCTAGATCGAACAGCCCACACCGCTCCACCTCCTCTATAAAGTCGATCTCCACATGCGCCGCCCAAAACCCTAGCCACCTTCCCCCCACCCCTCTCGCCGCCGCAGCCGCGGAGGCGACCCCTCCCCCGCCGCCGCCAAGATGCAGATCTTCGTGAAGACCCTGACGGGGAAGACCATCACGCTGGAGGTGGAGTCCTCGGACACCATCGACAACGTGAAGGCCAAGATCCAGGACAAGGAAGGGATCCCCCCGGACCAGCAGCGCCTCATCTTCGCCGGCAAGCAGCTCGAGGATGGCCGCACCCTCGCCGACTACAACATCCAGAAGGAGTCCACCCTCCACCTCGTGCTCCGCCTCCGCGGCGGCGCCAAGAAGCGCAAGAAGAAGACGTACACCAAGCCCAAGAAGATCAAGCACAAGCACAAGAAGGTGAAGCTCGCCGTGCTCCAGTTCTACAAGGTGGACGACGCCACCGGCAAGGTCACCAGGCTCAGGAAGGAGTGCCCCAACAACGACTGCGGCGCGGGCACCTTCATGGCCAACCACTTCGATCGCCACTACTGCGGCAAGTGCGGCCTCACCTACGTCTACAACCAGAAGGCCTAGGTTGATGCTTGCTGCTGCTCGCTTTGCTCTGATCTGATGCTTTTCATTCCCTTTTATCTGTTATTATCATGAGCTGAGATGAGCTGCTGCTGGTTACATGTTATTCAGATTATATGCGTTTTGTTCTCCGTTTACAATTGGAAAACTTTGAGTAGTAGCCTCTTGGAATATTATTATCTGTTACTGAATTGATGATGCGATGTGAGTTCACTTGTGTTTTCTGATTCCTGTTGGATGATTAGTTTGCGCCAGTTTCGTTGCTCTGATGTGTTTTTGAGATCTCACTGATTGCAATTAGATAATTGTTTTTCTGCATGGACTGGGATGCAATTGTGCTGATTGCTGGTCTCAATGGAAGTAGTCTCCATAATTTTTTAATCATTTCTGCTCATCCGTTCAGTTAGATGTGCAATTGTTAATCTGATTGTATATTCTGCCATTAAGCATAGTGAAGGTTACCATAGAAAATTTTATTCTTGTATGGCGACTTGATTGTACTGAGTGCCGATGGTATGGCTCAAGTAGAAGTGGTTGCGATCATTTGCAGATTGTGTCACATAAGTAGCATTGTATGTGTTTGTGACCATTCTTGTTCTGAAGTTTAGGGTTGTTACAGAGTTTTTTTTTTTCTTACAATAACCCTTGGCTTCATTGGGTGGTGCAATCTTATGCTTTTTTTTGGGGGGTGGGGGGTGGGGGGTGTTGAATGATGCTTCATTCTGATGATTCAACCCCCAAACTACAGAAATTATCTAGATTTGACCAATGCTTTTCTGATAATTTCTGTAGTTTGGATATACAATTGCTCTAGACGTGACTAATGTGTATGTGATCCTTTCTTGATCTGAAATTATGGGGTGCTGGTTAGCTTCTACTTTGCAGCTTCTCGGGTTTTGCAGTTATTCAGGATCTGTTTGAAAGCTTGTTTAGCTTTTGCCTTTTGCTGCTGTAGGAACAAGAAATTTCATTAGCGTATGATTAGTTAGGTGTTAACTATTACAAACTTGAAAAACAGGTTTATTTGAAAAAATAAGTTATGTTGCGCTCCAGATGTGACAGTTAATCTGGTGGGATTAATGTTTGTTTTTATTGAAGCCCAGTGAAGTTCTACTCTTACTGTATGCTACGTTGGCTTACCAGCCGTGTGAACCTGACAGTTTATTTTGGAGTTGATTTTGGGTTTTTTTTTCATCAATTTACTTTTCAGTTTTAGCTTTTAAACGAGTAAATGTTTTTACCCAATTTTTGTTCTACTAAGATATTATAAAATTTATAATTATTTATAGTTAAGCAGGAGCGTAAAATGGATCGTGCATTTGTACGATTAGGTTGTTATCTGTTGTTGCCTATTGCTACTGACTATGATAGCGTTCTGTATTCTGGAATACATTTGTTTGTGATTCTTTTGGGTTCCTGTGCACAATCTATAACAGGAAATGGTACCGTTGAGCTTCTTCCAACAGCTTATATTGTCACGTACAACAGCGTATATACGGATATACCTTAGACTTTTTATTATTAGAAGCTGGTTAGTCTTAAGCTTCCTGAAAACCGTCGACATAATAGTTAGGAGCCTTAAGAGCAAGGTCAACAGTGCAGCCCACTACTACCCCAAATCTTCTATAGCCAATGTAATAGCCAATTCATACAATAGTTGTTTACTATACTATTAATACTTGGTCCCACCTGTTATACACATATTACGTCTTGGAGTCCGTGCAGTTGGCTACAGATCTGTAGCCCACTATTCTTATCTCTCTTTCTTTATCTCTTTAAAATATATTTATAGTTGGCTTATAGCCTGCTATTGTACCTGCTCTAAATGAGCTACTCCAGAAGCATGGGATTACCAATTATGTTTCTTATAGGCATGGGATTACCAATTATGTTTCTTATAGGTTATCTCTTTAAAATATATTTATAGCTGGCTTATAGCCTGCTATTGTACCTGCTCTAAATGAGCTACTCCAGAAGCATGGGATTACCAATTATGTTTCTCATAGGCTGTGTTTAGTTCAGCGCAAAGTTTGGATTTTGGTTAAAATTGAAGATGATATGACTGAAAAGTTGTGTGTGTATGATAGGTTGATGTGATGGAAAAAGACAGCCATAATCTTAATCTTTTCGCGTCACCGCTGGGTCGGTATTTTTCTTCTCTATGGCCAGTGTACAATAACGGCCACGGCGATCGTCGATAGATGTTGGCTGCTGGCTGTGACCTGTGATCCCAACCACAGCAGCCGCATTTATTCAAAGCCCTGAGTGCGAATTCAACAATACTCTTAAACGATGTTTTGATTTCTCAACATTGTTACATCGCGTTCTGATTTATGAACATCTCTCTATATTCATTCAGCCTTTTACTCGTCTTAGGAACTCCGTGCTCGTTTTTCTTTTTTATTTTCTAGAATTTTGGAGGTTTTGTTTTACACACTGTATGACAAATGTGAACGTCCAGAGATGATAATATTGATTAAGCAAGGCCAAAAAGATTGTTTGCAGATATGCTCCACCGTGGTTGCTGCTCATAACTGCATTAGTGGAATTGTGGTGATGCTAATCATGCCATGTTCTTGCTGCTCTGCTATAGTATGTTGCAGAAAGTGTTCTTCCCTCAACTTTTCCAATCTCTCCTTTTTCATTTTTCACTCACACGTTTCCCAAACTAATAAACGGTTTGGTTTTCATAAAAATTCTTTATAGAAAAGTTGCTTTAAAAATAATATTAATTTATTTCTTTTTTAGCTTAGTACTAATTAATTATGTATTAATCCGTTGTTTCGTTCTTCATGCATGGAGGAGTCCCCAACTTCTAGAAACAAACACATAGTGGTGTTCCCATGCATGTTTCTTCACTCGTCGCATCTTTTGAAGACCGAAAAATCAACAGCGACCCGAATGATGTAGGAATGCCACCAAGGCACCAACGCTAACATTGAACACTAGATGTTCCTGCCAGTTGCTGAAGTTCCACAGAATCTCACTATGCAATCCTGGCTGTGTGCGGCACCCTTTTTTTTCAACCTTTCTATCTCGTTTTTCACACGCACGCTTTTCAAACTGCTAGACAATGTGTTTTCTTAAAAAGTTTCTACACGAAAGTTACCAAAAAAAATCAAATTAATCTATTTTTTTTAAAAAAATAGCTAATATTTAATAAATTACGCGCTAATGAACCGCTCCGTTTTAGGTGCGGAGGGAATGAGTTATCATCCGGGACATGCGAACGCAGCTGGTGGGTGATACGAGCACAGTTGGTGAGAGATATTGGCTGGTGGCATTCCGGACTGTGAATCTGTGATGGCATCCCGATGGAGTTTCCCAGGCAACCTTTGCATACGGACATAGGCGAATAAGAATAAGATTAGAGATAGGACTATCTCCCTATTCTTACTGCTTTCTCTTTTTTTTTTCTCCGCTCTTTCCTTCTACCAATGATGATCTAGCGAGATAGGGATTCAAGTCCTCCAATACCCACGCTAGATCTGCACCTGCATACGGAGCCTTGGCGGGAGCAGATGAGAGAGGTGGTGGCTGCGGAGGCAGCTGCAGATGCATTTTGTGGTAAGAGATCGAATTATGAATTCTGCCTTGTCATGCATTATTTTCCTAAGCTATATATGTCATTAATTACGATCCTTCGGAGTTTTTTTTTCTTGAACGATCCTTGTGGGAGTCGGAAGTGTATATACGCACGCACTTAATTGCATGGTCAATTTATTTACGTCCCGGATTAATTTGTCAAGCAAGCTTTTGTATATTCTTATTATATTTAACAGTTTACTCAGACGAAACACAGGATACATATTTTCACAACCACCACGTGCATAGTCCATATAAGTGGCAGAGCCCCGAACATGAAGGACTCTCGCTTATTCCGACACAAAGCCTAAGCTCCCACGGCATCCGTACGTCTTGATATCGATAAGTGCCACAGTCCCCCTCAAGGCCTCAAGGGTCAAGGCAGCGTGTAATCTGTGAAAATTAAAATAAGTTAATTGCTCTAAATATTGAAAAAATGCTAACCATCGATTAATTTTGTATGAAGAAGACTAGAAGAGTATATACTTGCATTAGAAAAGCCACTAGATGAAGATAAATCAGTGCACATAAAACGAGAAAGTAATTAACTATAATTAATTGAGTTTTAATTATTTAAATTTAAAATATAGATCTATTTGATATTTTAAACGAAACACATCATTTAACATCATTTAACAGTTTGAAATCCGAAATCATACTAACGAAAACCGAGAAAAAATAATCTACTCCCTCAGTAAAAAAAACCAACCTAATTGGGGATTTGTTACAACTTACAACATGGCCTATTATGTCAAATTGGCCATGTATTGGCCATGTTGTGTCAAAACCCCAACTAGGTTGGGTTTTTTTGATGGTGGGAGTACATCTTTAAGGCTAAGTTATTTTATTAGTGCTCAACTCAAATGTCCTTTTTTTTTTCGTGCACGCTTTTCAAACTTTTAAATTGTATATTTTTAAAAAAAATATTCTATACGAAAATTGCTTTAAAAATTCATACTAATATATTTTTTTAAAAAAATAGCTAATACAATTTAATTAATCATGCGACGATGAATCGTTCTGTTATACGTCCGTGAGGGATAAGTTCCCAGGCAACACCAGTCTTTACCTCCGCACTTGTAGCCGACGGGGCGGTCGGCCATGTTGCAGCGCTTGGGGATGGTGATGGCGACCTCCGGCTTGATCCCGGCGACCCTGGCCGTGTTGGACAGCATCACGGCGCACAGGCAGCTGGGGCTCTGCCCGATGGTGTGCACCGCCGAGCAGCAGCTGCTCGACGGCGCCGACTGCGGGTCGTCCGCCGCCGACACGCACGGCGCCAGCCGCAGCGCCACCCGGTCGGCGGACGCCCTCCCGCACTCGCCGGCGCCCTCCGCCGCCCCGCCGCCGGCGACCACCACCACCACCGCCACCGCCACGAGGATCACCAACCTGCCCGCCCTCATTGTGTCAACTAGCTAGCTACCGTTCTCTTGCTTTGCTTTTGCTCGGATGATCACAACTTAATTTGTGTGTATGATCAGTTTAGTTTTGCTGCTGTGCTTACTCGTATACAAGGGTGTGGTGCTTGTTATATACTAGTGTCCAGGGTTCACGATCCTGATACCGGGTCAAAATTCGCAAATTTCATGGAATCCGTTGATAAATCAAAAACCGATAAAGTCCTAATAATTTCTGTCGGGAATTTAAAATTTTGTTTTCTTGAATTCAATTAAAAACCGAGTCGTTTGTGTTTTCGACCTGATTGGAAAGTCCGGATATTGCGAAATCCAAATTAAATTCCACTGAAATTATGAACCCTCACAATCCCGACCCAGAATCAAAATCCGCTCACGAGCAGTATCATCGGATTTCACAAAATCAGTTGATAAACAGAAAAACAAATCTGAATAAATTTTGTCAAAAATTTAAATTTTAGTTTCAATATTTTTTAATTTAAGAAAGACAAAGTGGTTTTTTGTTGTTGACCCGATCCAGAGAGTTCGAATTTCACGAAATCCGAATAGGATTCCACTGCAATTCTTGTGAACACTGCTAGTGCCATTGTGGCGCACAGCACGCACCTCAATCATGTCCTGGGGTGAATGGGGAGAGCACTGACGGTGAGCACTTGGCACTTGGCACTCCTTTGATTTCTTTGCATTTGTGGCAGCATGAATCATTAGAGGTTTGGTTTCTCCACTTTGGATTTATGTAAGGAAAGCAGGCATGAAGCTAGATGTGATAGTGGGCTTCTGCCTAGGAAAGCACTGTACGTGGTGGCTCTACATTCATCTTGTGTGAACGCGCTGCGTGCGCGCGCAACGGACGCCGGCCGTCGATTTCACATTGCTCGCTCTTCTCTCTGTGGAGCAGATGACCCACACTCATCCTTATAACATATTCCCACCGACCTAAAATATAATAAGTTTAAATTTTATCCTAAAATATAAAATCTAGTAATTGTAATTTTTTTTACTATCCGTAGTAAATTTTACGATATTTTAGGAAAGAGAAAACAGGTGGTGTGAAACATGATACATCGATATCATGCGCGAGTTGACTATCCATGTCATTTGTCAAACGTATGGTTAGTTAGTTACAAAATACTACCTAAATCCATAAAAGAATGCCCGTATACATATACTCCTAAAACCTATAAATTTTTTACATGGTTTTCAATGAAATACTTTGACTACTAATTTATTTATATTATGTTATAACAACTATGAAAATAAAAATCATATGAAAATATTTTAAAGTATCAATCTAATTAGAGTAAATTTCACTTTGGGCCATGTATATTTATCAGATTGGGACATTGGACCAAGGTTAAACATATGTTTTCACTTAACATCATATTTCTTTACCATACTTTATAAGTTGGACCAGGGTTTACCACTTGGGCCACCAGGACAGCTTCGGCCCAGCCCATGTGAAGCGTTTGCTCGTATGGAGGCGACGAGTCTAGGTGCACGCATCGGCTCTTGGTGGGGAGCAGCGACCAGTGACGACCTCCAGGGCTGTGTTCAGATGCCCCTTTTCCCGATCCCTCTTCCTCGTTTTCCACGCGCACGCTTTTCAAAATGCTAAACGGTGTGTTTTTTTAAAAAAAGTTTCTATACGAAAGTTACTTAAAAAAATCAAATTAATCCATTTAAAAAAATCAACAAATACTTAATTAATCACGCACTAATGGATCGCTCTGCTTTCCATGATCACTGTTCCGGATGGGAGCTGGTTCTAGCGAACAAAGCCACATCGTGAGCTCGGCACGCAGACACCGGACGCCATGGCCAAGGGCCAGTTTAGTGGACATCGATGCCATCACGTATGATGGCGTCCAGAGGGCACAATCTGCGGAATAGCTCGGGTCGCTGCTTGGCTTCGTGGAGGCATTCTATACTATATCAGTCTGTTATTCGGTCTTGGAGAGACAAATCAAAACGGTGTTAGAGCAACTCCAATAGCCTCTCCAAAAGACTCTCCAAGCTAAATTTTGTCAATTCTTACCCAAAAAAAAAGTGCTCCAACGGCCTCTCTATTCAACTTTCCAAGCTATTTGGTTGGTCAAACCTTTCCCTCACTAGCCTAATTTGGCCAGCCAAACTCACTAGCCATCTGTGGGTCCCACCTATTCCCCCTTCTCTTTCCTTTGCATCCACTTGTGCGCGCTCTCTCTCTCTCTCCCTTTGCCGCCAATATCCCTGCCACCGTCGCTTGCCAAATCGACGGCGAGCAGCGGCGGCGGTGCTCCCGCTGGCATCCATCGCTCGCCTCTGCCACCCGCCGGCGGTGCTCCTGTTGCCGTTGGCCTCCACCGGCTCACGTCAGCCTCGTCCACCGCCGTCGCCTCATCTCCTCATCGAGCGGCGACGACGACGCGTGGAAGAAGCCCGCGGCAACGAACCTCCTTCCTGAATTATTCCCTCGGAAGAAGCCATATGGCCTATTTGGTTTTGGGAGGGGGAGTTGCATTTTCTATTGGAAGCTATATTGATAAAGTCGACTGTGATGTAGTGCCGATGAATGCTTGTCACTTGTTATTGGGAAGACCTTGGCAGTTTGATCTAAATGCAACACATGAGGGTATGTCCAATTGCTATTCCCTTATGCATAAAGGAGTAAATCATGTGCTGAAACCAATGCAAGAGAGTGTTATTAAAGTGGAGGTATTTCCGACTATGAAGAAAAATAAAGAAGTAAGCCGAGGACGGCTTTGTTTTAAGGAAGGGAGGATGATATGACCAAAGCACCTGTATCTTTTGCCGGTGGTTCTTTTCAAATTTGTGTGAAACAAGATGAAGAGAAGAAACCGACAAGGAGTGCTACCGATCAGATGGGCATAGAAGAGAAGAAATTGATGGGGGTATATACGTGTTGGTTCATTGCACGTACCGATCTTGTGTCATGCTAATTTTCCATTAGCATGTTTATTTACTTAATTAATTGCAGCATAGGAGATTTGTGGTGTTATTACCAAGTTAATTAGGACTAAACTTAATTAGTCTATGTTTAATTAGGTTTTGGGCCTTTGAGCCCATGCCCTTTCCTGGTGCTTGCGTGCACACATATATATGTCCATGCAATAGGTTACAGGGGAGGTTAGGGTCTAATTTGTTTTGGTTCGTCATCGAGGTCGTGTCCTCCGCCGCCAGGGACGATGGCGCTCCCATCGTCGATATTCTGCTGATTGTTGCCGCTATCAACGACAGTGACACAAGTGTGTGATTGGCAGTTTTTCCCTGCTGAGCACGTGCTGGAGCCAAGGAGGTCTGCATCTTCTTCTGATCGTGTGCTTTGCCAGTGCACGGGTAGATAGGTGTGGTGTTCAGTTTGCAGTCTTTCCAACCTCTGTAAGCTGAAGAATTTAGGGGCTGTTTGGATACTTCTGCAGCTAAAGTGTGGCATACCACAATTTAGATGGCTAAGAAATTCTTGGCCACGAATTAGGCAAATGTTGGCAAAGATATATGTCTATAACAAGTAGGGTCACAAAATAAAAAAGTGTGGCATGACAAAGATGTGGCAAGCAAACAAACACTAGGCTAAAAGCATGTATAAAGGTAGAGTCAGATATGAGCTCTATATTATTTAGAGACTAGCATCCTACAACAGATAAAAACAATATGGTCTCTAATCATTAATGTATCAAAATACTTTTTCTTACTCTCTTTTCCTTTCTTTCACCACCATATAACAAAATTTGCTCTAATAAATGCTAAGAGTCGACTCTGAGCCGTTGTCATGTATAACAACCATACTATTTTCTCTTTCTTCCATGTCATCAAATTTACTTACATTAATAAAGACCATTGTACATGCCCTAAGTTGGTTAAAGTAGCTTACCAAAGTTATGGCAAAGTATCGTCACCATCCAAACAACCCCTAATATCGTCGTTTGTCCAGTTGACTAGTCTTGATTAATTTTGTTGCTCCATTTATCACATCAATATATATATATAGCCATATATATATTATTGGTTGCTGATTGGTACCGTGAAAGAGAGGGGAAAGTCAAGGTGCTCGCTGCAGGGTGCTCATCACATCCGTTTTCATTAATAATCTAATCTTCAACTAAACTTTCTATCGATTTCCACCACCTCTACCAAACAAGGTATTGAAATTAAAAATCAAATTCCCAATTACCACCCCTACTTAGGTATTGAAAATGAAGGGTTTCCTTCCTCAATTCCATCCCATGGAAATTCCCAACCAAACAAAACAGTTAATAGCTCCATCTCTCTAAACTCACAATCCCTCTTAAAAAAATCCCTCCAACCAAACAGGCCGTCATGTAAACTCCCAATCCTCTTTCCTCGAGTTGCCAAACAAACTGATAAAGAAATTCAATGGTTAAATATTTGCTACTCCCTCCGTTTCAGGTTATAAGATGTTTTGACTTTGGTCAAAGTCAAACTACTTCAAGTCTAACCAAGTTTATAGACAAATATAGTAATATTTATATTACCAAATTAGTTTATTAAATTAATAATTAAATATATTTTTATAATAAATTTATCTTGGGTTAAAAATATTACCTTTTTTCTATAAATTTGGTCAGACTTGAAACAGTTTAACTGTGACCAAAGTCAAAACATTTTATGACATGAAACGGAGAGAATATATATTTAGGAGGGGTTTCATGATAAGGAATAAGTTCACTCTAGGTCCCTCAATTTGTCGTCCAGTCTGATTTTCGTCCTCAGTCCAGAAAACCGGATACAAAACATCCCTCAACTTACAAAACCATGCAAACATAGTCCCTCAGCAGTATTGACCCTAGGTTTTGGATGATGTGGCACCTACGTGGCGTCTTTGAGTAGATCTGTGTCCCCACGTGGCATTGACGTGGCGCTTACGTGGCAAATTTGATCCCAAAAAATTAAAAGGAGTAAAATTGAAAACTGAAAAATTAAACAAAATAAAAAAAATGTGGGACCCACATGTCAGTGGGTCCCACTTAACTCTACCTCACCCTCTTCCCCTCTCTTCCAATCTTCTCCAGGTGGCGGCGGCAACGCATATTCTTGTGTGGCGAGGATGAAGACGGGGAGGGAGCGGGGGTCGCTG